CCGGAGGCCATTCTTCACGATCCTTGGTCAAGAACTCGGGGCCCGACCACCACAGTGAGCATGTCTGGAGGTCCGGGCCTGACATCCCGCGAGAGCAAACGTCTGCTGGATTGAGCTCACCGGGAACATGGTGCCACTGCTCAGTCTCTGATGAATCTTGTATTTCTGCGATCCTGTTGGCGACGAAAGTGTGGAACCGACGACTTTCGTTTCTTAAGAACCGCAGCACCACAGAGCTGTCGGTCCACAGGAAGATTTCATCGAGACTGCACGTGAGCTCTCCCAGGGGTAGCCAGTAACAGTTGGTAGCATTAGGCCAAATGGGCGCTCAAAAACTACTACCCCATAGGGTTTGCATGTTAAATCAACCTTTTTCAAGAGAGCCCCACACGTAAGCTATAAGATAAAGTGCCAATATTATTGTGGGGAAAGGTAGCCTCAAGCTTCCTCTACAACCTTTTTATCTAGCGTTTTTCGATGCGGAGGCCATAACAGGTCCAAAAAGCATTGGGCGCTGCCCGAGGTACCAAAAGCCCCTCCATGAGAGCACTAGTTCCTGCGCATGCGCACATTGCCTCAACCCTGTACTAGCGTAGGTTAGCGATACTGCTCACGGAGTCTATCAGCCAATGAGCGTCCCCGATTATGTTATTAGATGTCGCTAGCATCTCGTGAATCCTGCTTACGAACACATTTTAAGAATGAAACAGCTGCGCCATTTCCGCCTTCCATAGATTCCTTCCATCTTAGTATCAACTATAGGCTTTTCAACTAACTTTATGCTAAGTTTTAAACTATGGCTAGTATGTTATTTCTGGTTCATATAATTTAAAAATAACTGCTTTATGAAATTGGCTTTACTCGTCAGAATGGAATACTCTATTTATTCCATATTCAAAAAATATATCACCTTCCATGTAACTCATCCAGGTAAAATGGGCGCTTTCCGCGTCGTTGGTGTACCCGTTGTTCTATATACCCTGAGCTCTCCTTTGACGAAGTTGGCCAGCCTCACCCCCAACACAGCAGCCTGCAGCTCAAGGCGAACAATTGTCAATTGCTTCAAGGGAGCGAGACGAGTCCGTGACATGATGAAGGAGGTGGTCTTCGTGCCGTCGGCACATGACATCCTGAGGTATGCGACTGCACCAAAGGCCTTTTGGGATGCGTCACAAAAGATGTGAAGCTCTCGACCTGTGACTTCACCATCCGGCGGAACATCAGCCGCGTAGCATCGCTGGATCTCGATGGTCTCGAGATGAGGCATCTCCGACAACCAGTTCTCCCAAGCCAGGAGTTCTTCTCCGCTCAGCTGGCAGTCCCAGTCGAGCTTCAGCTTCCAGAGGTGCTGGACGAGCAGCTTGGCCCTGAGAACAAACGGAGAGACGATTCCAATAGGGTCGAAGACCATAGACAGTCTTCTTAGAACGCCACGCTTGGTAGCTGGGACGTCCATGTCTGTTACCTTCACGCCGAGAGCATCGCTACCAGGCCTCCAGACGCATCCCAGAGCACGCTGAGTGCCCTGGCCGAGATGCGCCAAGTCGAGCCCGGATGCACTCATTTCATCAGCTGGGACACCCTGGAGAGCTTCTGGTTTGTTCGTGGTCCACTTCGTCAAACGGAAACCGCCCTTGGCCACCAGCTCAGTCACGTTCGTACGCATCTTCCTCGCCTGTTCTACATCTGGAACCGAAACGAGCAGGTCATCCATGTAGAAGTTGCGCTTGACAGATTCAACAGTGGCTCTCGACTCATCTGTGTCCTCCTTGTGGTCCTCCGCCGTTCTTCGTAGAGCGTAGTTGGCCAGGGTCGGGCTACATCGGGCGCCAAATATGACGACCATCATTTGATATGTATCTGGAGGTCTGCTCCTATCCATGTGCCGCCACAAGAAGCTCAGCGCCGGCTGGTCCTCCACTCTCACCCGCACTTGGTGGAACATTGCTTCCACATCGGCCACGAGCGCCACTCTCTCCTGTCTGAATCTGATCAGAACACCAACCAGACTTTGCAGGAGATCAGGGCCGGTGATGAGGGCATCGTTGAGGGAGATTCCTTCACAGCGGGCAGCGGCGTCGAACACTACGCGGACTTTCGACTTGTTCGGGTTGCTTACCGCGTGATGGGGGAGCAGCCATCTCTTTTCGCTGGGCCTGGCCAGCTCCTCCGGTGACACTTTGCGGGCGTAGTTCTTCGTCACATAGCCCATCAGAACGTCTTCATAAGCGGCAGCTTTTGCTGGGTCACGAGACAGGCTCCTCTCCAACGATTGCAGTCTTCTCTCGGCCATCTTCCTGTTGTCAGGCATCTTCACGCCGTCTTTCTTACACAGCAATCCGACCTCATAGTGACCATCTCGCAGCTTAGTCATCTCGTTGAGAGTAGCCTGCGCTCGGATGTCATCACGTGAACGAGACACTTGCCCTTCAAACATACTGCCGAACGACTCAGTAGCCCAGAAATCCTTCACAGCATCACAAAGATCCGATTCCTCAGTGGCCCGATGAATCAACATCACATCTCGCACTTGTCTGGGAACAAGCTCAGCCACAGATCCGGTGAGCGTCCAACCGAAGACAGTCCTGATTGCTACAGGATCCCCTGGGTTTCCTGTCCTCACCTCGAGCTGGAGAACTGCCTCGATGACGTTAGCCCCTAAGAGGAGCTCTACCTTCCGTCCACGGCAGTCCGGTAGCTTCAGGCCCTGGACATGATGCCAGTGCTTCACTGGGAAGTGAGGCACCGTCAGATTGATTTCCTTCACTGAGAAGGCTTCCGGCACTACAACTGCGTAGCCTTCATCTCCGTCAGTGATCAGCTGCAACTGCAACCTCCTCGTCCTCTGCTGGGAGCCACTGCCTTCCACGTTTCGCAGCCGAAGTGTCTGCTGCTCTCCCTCCAGACCAAGTTCTTCAACAACATCCTCTGCAACCAGGGACGTCTGAGAGCCAGGATCAAGGAGCGCACACACCTTCCTGGTCTTACCACCTTTGCCGACAATAGTGACCTGCACCACCTGCAGGAGAGTTGTTACAGGCTTGCCACCCAGAGATGCGGCAGCAACCACTCGCTGTCCGTCCAGCTCAGAGCCTGGCACCTGGCTACTGGACTGAACGCCGACCCTCTTGCTGCCATGCAGCAGCCTGTGATGCTTCATCTTGCAACCCTCGATGCTACATCGTTTTGCAAAACGACAATGTCTGACTGCATGACCTTTCCTCAGGCAGAAGAAGCATGCTCCGGACTTGGAGACAAGGATGGCTTTCTCGTCCACAGGCTTGCTGAGGAACGTGGGACAGGTTGTTACGTCATGGAGAGCTTCACAGCAGATGCAGACCTTGCCCGCCATGTGCTGAGCCTCCGTCACCAGTGCCGTTCGCTGGACTGTCCGTTTCATGGCGCCTCCTTGTTTCCTCCCCTCGTTAGCACTCCTTCCTGTTGGCTGCCTGCCAGGCTGCTTGGAGACAGCAGCATAGTTCAGGGCTATCCTGACTTGCCTGCGCAACCAGGAATCCAGGTGCAGAAGACTGGGTCTTGCAGGCTCGAGACTCAGAACATGTTCACTCCACCTTTTCATGAGATCTGAAGGCAGCTTTTGCACGACACGCCTCAGATTCTCAAAACTGTTCAGGTCCCCATCGTATTTCATACTTTCAAACACAGCTATGGCGCAATGGATTGTGGACTGGAATCTTTCAAGGCTGATCGGGTCCTGCAGAGAAGGAGAGGGACATGCAAACACCTTCTCCAGAGTTGAGCTCACAATGTCCTCCTGTCTGCCGAATCTTTCCTGGAGCATCTTGATCGCCTCACCGTACAAATTTCCATCATACAGCAGCCCCTTTATGGTCTGTTGCGCCAATCCGGTTACTGCAGACTGAAGATGAATCATCTTTTCAGTGGGCGTCAGCATCTCCTGATCATGTACCAGGGTGCGAAAGAGCGCAAACCACTTCACCCACTCTCCCGGATTACCATCAAACTTCGGAAGTGTGAGTCGGGGAAGGGCACAGTGAAGCAGCGGTTCTGAAACACCACGGGTTTGTAGTTGAGAAGCACCTGGATGCTGGTTGGCTCCATCAGTGGTAAGCTCATTCCCATTCCGAGTGGGTACATCGACACCAGCACTGGTCACAGCAGCGTCAGCTACACCAGCTGCAACAGGACACTGATCAGGATGGGGACGTTCAGAACGATCACTTGGTACATTGAGACAATGGGGAAGGTCTGAACCCAGTGTCGCAGGTTCCACAGCAGAGCCACGATCCAGCCCAGGACAGTCAGTGGGAAGCTGAGCCGCGGGTTCTCCAACAAAGTCAACCATCCGATCCCTGTTAAGATCATCCCCAGTCTCTGCGGCGCACAGAAGCTGGGCCTCGAGTTCAGCAGCTGCTCTGGCGTCCTCTGCCGCCTGTAGCTGAAGTTTCCTCTGTATTTCCTGTTCTTGCTTTTGCAACTCCAGCCGTTGTCCAAGTTGCTCGGCTTCAAGACGCTTTACCTTTGCCGCAATCCTGGCTCTGTCAGATGCCGTGGACTTGGAATTGGAGACATGGCTGCCAGATGCCACAGATGGTGCCTCGTCCTTCCGGCTGATCAAATGCTCTTCAATTCTGCTAACAGCATCCTCATGTTGTTTCTCTACATCCTTCATGTATACTGCAGCTGATTCAAGCTCCACGTCTTCTGTCAGCAATGACACATACTGCTCATTCACCTCCTGAATTGCCTCCAAGGCCTGATCCAGATCCTTCAATAGCTCACTTAGCTGGGTGCGGCTTCCCTTTGCATCGATGATGATGAAGGCACGTCTCCTGATCCTGGTCAGGTTTCCCAGCTTCTTAGCCCTGGCACCTTTCAGCGACTTGACATCCATTTTGTACAATGAGATTCAACAGACTGAGCAGCAGAGAGATGAGCCGATCCTTGTAGATATGAGACTTCAATGTCCAACACGGACTTCGAAACTGTAGCGGTCTTTGTACTCCCACATGCTTCTGTACGTTGAACGCTTTATTGTACACAAAAATGAAAGACGTAAAGGGAAGGATACATTGAAAGGCAAACAAAGGAAAAAGATAGAAACAGAAGGAATGGCACAAAACACAGCCTTGCGCGCATGCAGCAAAGTGGGGTTTCTGCAAGCAGAGACAGCACATAACACAGTCAATGACACAGAAGTTAATGAGCGATGACCATTGACAGACAAAGAGAAAATGAAGATGGCAACAACCAATGATAAGCAAACATATGAAAAAGTAGATCATATGCAAAGTAAAGCGTTACCGAAGTTTCCGCTCCCAGTTCATGCCAGTCTCAGCATAGCAGTCTCAGCATGCCATCTCATCATGCCAGCTTGTCAGTTCAGGCACACACAGTTAATATTTATACATGTCTGTCAGTGCAAGACCTGAGAAAAGAGAAACCTCAGTAAGACTCGGTGGTCGCAACACTTGTCATTGACTTATAATGGTAAAAATTGATCGGAAAACTCTGCACCGTGGTAGAGGCTAGCATGGCGTTGCAGCGTCAGCTGTTGCGCCGCAGCTAAGCTCCGCCCACTGCGCCGCGACACCGGGACCGGTCATTCGCCGCTCGGGGTTAGAGCGGTGCGGAGCTCTGACGGGCTGGAACAAGACACACGCTAACGCAGGTATCCTTGCGTGAATAAATGTATCTCGCGCGGAGAAAATAAGGATGAAGAATGCAATGCAGATCGGTGTATGTATAAAACAATAAGCACTCCTTCTAGCTACAGAATGTTTGTTATTCCCTATGCAGACTTAAAATAATCTTATTTTCAATAATTTATAGCGAGCCTCTCCGCAGCCGTTTTCCTACAGGCTATTGTGCATTTAAGGAGTAACGGGACAGAATTCACCGGACTGTCTTTGCATTCAACGGCCTTATTTATTTGAAAATATCCACATATGTACTTGTAGGTATTTCAAGAATAAATTTTTATTTTTGGGGGTGAAAATAATAGGTAAATCTTTCCATGACATTTCCACAATGCTTTAACTTAAGAATGTTGTTGATAGATCTTAGGCCCGAAAAAACAATAAAACAGGGAAAGATATAGGATGACTCAATCTGAAAATGTAGATATGCAATATCGAGAGTTAATGATCTCCCATCCTTCACTCCCCCTTGTCAGTCTCTCGTCTATACGTTTATAGTATATTGTCTCTCGTCTATAGCCTAATCTCTATCTTCGTCACTTGTCTCTGGTCTACCATCTTTTTAATTTTGTCTGTCTTTCGTCAACCGTCTTTGTCTCCTGTCTCTGCTCTAGTGGCTATGCATATTGTTTGTTGTCCACTAGCCAATGTTTACCGTTCGTCTCATTGTCACCTTGTCTCCTCTTCCTTTCTCTTTCTTCCTCCGTCCTGATTTGTCGTAGAACAGCTTATCAAAAGTTCATAACATGCAAACAAGTGCTCCACTCCGCTGCGCTGCGCGCGCGGCCCGCACGCCGGCCGGCCGGACTGCGACTGCCGCCGACATGACCCGAGGCTGGACCGCAAGTGGGCGGAGCCAAGCCGCAGTGTGCTAGTGCGTCTCGACCAATCAGAGGGGAGACAGCGCCCAGCCTGTGTCAGCCTCTAAGCAGGGCTCTGACGACCTTAACATTATTAGTCAATGATAAGTGCCTTTATTTTTTTTTCGTTAATAGACCATATTGATAAAAATTAGGTAGGGATCTCAAACTACCAATGCCAAAGTTTGGTTAAAATCAAACGCATAAACAACGAGAAATAGCCGAAAAGGACTGTTCCACAGGGTCTGAAACGGATAGTAAGCCACGAGGAGTGCCGGCTGCGGCATCTGGATGAAATTACCGCTTGTCGGTGTCGGGGAGGGCCTGATGAAATTCAAATGCGGGTCGCCGGTTGGCAGGGACCGTGCGATGCCACCCCATCCGTGCCGTTCCCGTCACTGGCCGTCTCGTCGGCCGACGGTCGGGACTCTCAGGACTCAGACCCAGCCAGACTAACGGCGACTTGGCTCGGCTTGCTCTCCGGCCGCCGGCCGTCGCCGTACTGCCCATATATTTCGGAGACTGTGTGCACTGCAGCCGATCGGCTGCTGTCGCCCTCCCGGCCATCACACGCCAGTGAAGGCGCGGCTCGGGGTGCCAGAATTGGCTACTGTTGGAGCGTGGTAGAGTGGCGAGCTTCGCGGTGAGACGGGCGACGGGCGATGTGAGAAGAGGAACACCGGACCCTCGAGCCAGCGAGCCAGCGAGTCAAAACCGTTGTGGAATTGTGACAAAGATGCTGCATTGGGATATAATGATCAATTTTAGTGAATGCTCGTATTTAGGCATTATTATTATTATTATGCTGGTACTCATATACGTGTATTATTCACAAATGTGGCACGACAACCTTTAGAACATAGGTACCTATATTGGTGTGGTGTGGTCACATCCGACTTCTTAAAATGCATCTGCATGCTGATCACATGTTTCTATGGATATCGCGCAAGCGCAGGCGTCTTGCCGTAAACCCGCCGACAGCAGAGTGGATTGGTGTTTGTCTATAAAACCACCCGTGAGCACCTTTTCTCGATAAAAAGCCAGCATCGGCGCTGATGTCTCCTGTTTACGTCTCGCACCCATAAAGTGGTTAGCTTCATCCACAATGGAGCTTGTTTTCCTCAGGCAATCCTGTGATGAGGCACACCACCGCTGTATCTTGCCTTTGCGTTGTTGACCACCTTAGTCCTCAAGCCATTGGGAGTTTCACACACGTCTTCATCGATCGGCAGTGTGATGTAACGTTAATCCGCCGCTGTCTGTCGTCATCGTGCCGGCCACCCCGCCGCCCACTGATCCGGCGGCATCGACCCCCGAGCAGGCGGCCGCCCGGCCCCGCGCTGCCGCCCCGCGCCGCGCTGGTGTTCTATGATCAGCCGCCGCCGACCCTTACCCGTCCCTCTCCCGTACCGTTCCGGCCCGTCATTGATCCCGTGCGGCGGGCCACGTTTTTGCAGCACTGAGCCGGCATCACGCCCTTCAGCGGTGGAACGGCCTGGAGAGGTGAGTGACGCAAAGCGTTACCTGTGGCCACTCGATGCAGAAACAGGATAAAACGTGCGAAAAAAAAAATAGTCAATAGACAACAGTGCGTCATAATTGAACATGACGATCACGCATTTAGGCGTGAATACACGTCTGCATGCAGAATGTTACATGTAGAAGCCCATGATGCACTTAAAGATTAACAGTTGCAGATTACTCAAGTCAGTTGCAAACGCCTTCTTTGCTTAGGTACTTAAAACCGAGCAATATGAAAGCACGCATGATAAATTACTGGTCGGTTTTTATGAAATCACATTCACTATGCCTAATAAAAAACGTATAATAAAACGTTTGGACAAGGTGTCGGCGGTGTCCAGACTCCGGCGTCGCCGAGAGCTGTCCGCCGATCTCACACCGAGTGAAGCCAGCCGGCGGAACATTTCCGCCGACTGACGACACATCATCAGCGTTTGCCGATAGCAGGTAGGCAGCCGCCATGATTGGTACAGACTGATTGGAGTGCGCAGCCGAGCGCAGTCAAGATCACGGCCCGTAGGTACTGCTCGTATGTACTGGCATAAAAACCGACGCAAAATATCGAAATGTGTTGACGACGGCAGTTTGAAGAAGTTTCTTGGTAAACGACTCGTTATCTCAAATAAAGTTAGTTTCGCCGGCCTGACCACGTACTGCAATTACCTGAATTATATTGGCAAGATCAAAGGGCGTTCCAATCGCTTATAGGAAGTGTCTACCTGTATCAGCAGAACAAAACATTACTTACTAGCAAGTCTGTATAGCCCATAGCTTCGAGCGCTAACGAAGTCAAACCTTCCACAAAAAGACGTATGAAGTGCTTTAAAATGTCCCAGAAAACCGACGAATGCTTCTGTGAAATCCCTATACCTATAACCTAACTAGTCTGCTTGACCAGACCCTCACCAAATGCGGCTGGGCGGCGGCTCTCCCCGTGCTCTCCCCTCGTCCAATGCCAGTTTCACCGAGCACCGCGCACATGACGACCCCGACCCCGTCAGTGGCCCTCAATTTGGCGGTGACGGGCGCGCGGCGCTCACCGCCACTCAGCCTGTCGGGACGGAGATAGTACCGTGTAAGCGGCGCCCATTGGCCGTGCAAATGGCGAGTGGACGTGACATTGGCGGCACTCGACGCCGCGAGGTGGCCCATCTAATCCCCGCGACGGTGGCCTGACGCTGATTCACAGGGGCGCCAGCTCGCCGTCCACTTTGTCCGCGGTGGTAACGGAAGGTCGCCAGCGATTCAATAGAAACGTTATTAGCTGGGAGTCTTCTATCTGACCTGTACCTTTCGTAGCGGACGTTCATTTAATACCTAAAACTATATATTTTAGCTCGACGGTTAACTTTTCACAAACGTTTCGCTCCACTGTATTTTGAATGTGCCGGGTGGTCGGCCAAACTATTCAAAAATAAATTGATTGGAAATCATCCACTCCTCCATGTGTCCAGCCCACAGCGCATCCGCCCCGTCCCGTCAGCCCCCAGAGACGGCACCTCCTCGGGGGACCGTCCGCCCCATCGGGCTGTCGGCCCGAATCTGTCCGGCTATCTGTGCCGGAGGCGGCGGCACTGTGTGCACGAGCCTCCCACCGACAAATAACATAATGGAGCACTTCTGGACGACGGCGGTAAACACTGAGCGCCGTCGGCCGTCGGTCTCGGCGCGCCGGCCGGGATCGGTGACGCCTTATGGGGAAGACTGTGTGCCCGGCGCCGGCTGGGTTTGCCCCGTCGAGCCCGGACGGACGGTGGACCGGCATCGTGACGCTGTTTATCATCCGCAGTATGTAAACAGCTTCACGGCGGTGTGCACACACCTGCCCGCCTCCTGAGACCGAGAAGGCGGAGGTACCGGTGCAATTATGTGCGCGGGGGTAAATACTCGGGCGAGGTCGTAAAGATGTAGGTCGTGTGTAGTGGATCCGAACACTGAATAAGTATTCCAATGCCATAATATACCAGGATCTAACACAGAACGAATCATTACGACAAATCGCAATTGATGGACGACGGAATCGCTTGTCTTTATTGCCGGCAAGGGTGACTGATTATAATTAGTTCGGAAAACAACACGACTTCGTTATGACGCGCACTGTTGACGGTTGCGTCGTGTTTCTCTTATGCCGGCAGACATTTGTTGTTGCTCCTCTGCCAAGGGAAATTAAGGCGTAGATCGGCAGCAAAGGCCGTTGGTGTGGAATGTGAATGCCATCTTGAGACATGAACATTGGGCATGGGCAACGTCCCGCGGATCTCCGTGGATTCTCCCGTCAGCGGGAGTCAGGTATGTTAGGGTTCAAATATGGGACTATTGTCCGGGTAGATGGGACTCGGGACGAGAAACATCCGAAACATCCTCCAAACCCGCCCTCCGAATGG